CCAAACTTTACAATTGGCACAATGCAGTCAGGCAAGTACCGTTCTCCTGGCCACCGCCAAACCCAGACACATCCACATGCTCTAGATTCCAGTGGTGGCGTGCTTTACACCACGGCATCCGACGCTTTGCATTGCACTTGGTGATGGAAGGCTTGGATGCAGCTGCTCGGCCATGGAAACCCATTCCATGAAGCTCTCTACGCACTGTTGTTGGGCTCATCTGAAGGCCACACCAAGTTTGGAGGTCTTTAGCTATTGACTCTGCAGACAGTTGGCGACTTCTGCGCACTGTGCGCTTCAGCATGCGCTGACCCCGCCCTGTCATGTGACGTGGCCTACCACTTGGTGGCTGAGTGGCTGTTGTTCCCAGTTGCTTCCACTTTGTTATAATCCCACTAACAGTTGAGCGTGGAATATTTAGTAGCCAGGAAATGTCACTGATGGACTTATTGCCCAGGTGGCCACCTATCACGGGACCACGCTTGGAGTCACTGAGCTCCTGAGAGAGATCCATTGTTTCACCAATGTTTGTAGAAGCCGTCTGCATGCCTAGGGGCGTGATTGTATACACCTGTGTCCATAGATCACCTGAATCCAATGATTTTGCAGGCTGGCCCAATACTTTTGGAAATATAGTGCATCTCATGGTCCCTAGCTGGGACTTTACCTATCCTGTAGTTTTCCCATGGTCCCTAGCTGTGAGACTTTACCTATCCTGTAGTTTTCCCATGGTCCCTAGCTGTGAGACTTTACCTATCCTGTAGTTTTCCCATGGTCCCTAGCTGTGAGACTTTGCCTATCCAGAAGTTTCCTCATGGTCCCTAGCGGTGAAACTTTACCTATCCTAGAGTTCCCTCATGGACCCCAGCTGGGAGACTTTACCCATCCTGGAGTTCCCTCATGGTCCCCAGCTGTGAGACTTTATCTATCCTGTAGTTTCCTCACCTGTGAGACTTTTTACCTATCCTGCAGTTTCCTCATGGTCCCAACTGTGAGACTTTACCTATCCCGGAGTTTCTTCATGGTCCCAACTGTGAGACTTTACCTATCCCGGAGTTTCTTCATGGTCCCTAGCTGTGAGACTTTACCTATCCCGGAGTTTCCTCATGGTCCCCAGCTGTGAGACTTTACCTATTCTGGAGTTTTCTCATGGTCCCCAGCTTTGAGACTTTACCTATTCTGGAGTTTCCCCATGGCCCCCAGCTGTGAGACTTTACCTATCCCGAAGTTCCCTCATAGTCCCCAGCTGTGAGACTTTACCTATTCTGGAGTTTCCTCATGGTCCCCAGCTGTGAGACATTACCTATCCTGGAGTTTCCTCATGGTCCCCAGCTGTGAGACATTACCTATCCTGGAGTTTCCTCATGGTCCCCAGCTGTGAGACATTACCTATCCTGGAGTTTCCTCATGGTGCCCAGCTGTGAGACATTACCTATCCTGGAGTTTCCTCATGGTCCCCAGCTGTGAGACATTACCTATCCTGGAGTTTCCTCATGGTGCCCAGCTGTGAGACATTACCTATCCTGGAGTTTCCTCATGGTCCCCAGCTGTGAGACATTACCTATGCTGGAGTTTCCTCATGGTCCCCAGCTGTGAGACATTACCTATCCTGGAGTTTCCTCATGGTCCCCAGCTGTGAGACATTACCTATCCTGGAGTTTCCTCATGGTCCCCAGCTGTGAGACATTACCTATGCTGGAGTTTCCTCATGGTCCCCAGCTGTGAGACATTACCTATCCTGGAGTTTCCTCATGGTCCCCAGCTGTGAGACTTTACCTCTCCCGGAGTTTCTGTACTGCCTTTACCAAGAGAAGAATGTCCTCTGCTAATTGCTCTCAAGCATTTTTGAGTATCCCATCCCCCCTCACCCCTCTCCTGGTACATTTCTTCAGCAATAAACCTTAGGAAGACCTTCCCTAGACTGTTTAATGGAGTCGTAGTGACTGGACTGTTGCCTGTGTGATGGGCAGCCTCTGCGCTACATAGGGAGAACCCGTTAAATTCTCAGCGGCTCCTTTGAGGGGTAGCGTTGCATGAACGTCCCAGTCCTGAATGTGTGATCCAAACTTACATTCGAACAGAACACTCAGCTCATCCCTATTGGTTGGTAAGGCATTAGCAGCATTCGTGAAGCCGGAGGGGACGGGACCAGAGTACCAATCACAGAAGATGTGCAGTACAGAGGAGCCCATATTTTGGGGGTGTCTGCTTGGAGGTTCCTACTTGTCAGGTTCAGTAAGTTTTTGTTTTTTATATCCGCAGCTTTTCTTTAAAGCTCCAGTCCAGGTTCCTTGAGCTGCCCCAGTGTGTGCTTTATTCTTTTTGCTTTTCTTTTTAAATAATGATCTTTTCCAAACGTCTACAGGGCGGCCCCGTGATGCACTTTCACTGCACACTTTCTCTGGTGTAAACAGTCCTCCATGGTGCAGAGAGCAGTGCTGCATCGTTACACCATGAGGTCCTCGGGGGCGGGTCCATGACTCCCTGCACTCACAGTATGTCCTCTGTGTTGAAGTCAACCTGGAAGACTGAGGACACCTTGTGGCAGGAAAGAGGTAAGGTGCTGGAACACTTTCTCTGCTGCACACTTTCTCTGGTGTAAACAGTCCTCCATGGCGCAGAGAGCAGTGCTGAATCTTTACACCGTGAGGTCCTTGGGGGCGGGTCCATGACTCCCTCCACTCACAGTATGTCCTCTGTGTTGAAGTCAACCTGGAAGACTGAGGACACCTTGTGGCAGGAAAGAGGTAAGGTGCTGGAACACTTTCTCTGCTTCACACTTTCTCTGGTGTAAACAGTCCTCCATGGTGCAGAGAGTAGTGCTGCATCTTTACACCGTGAGGTCCTCAGGGGCGGGTCCATGACTCCTGCACTCACAGTATTTCCTCTGTGTTGAAGTCAACCTGGAAGACTGAGGACACCTTGTGGCAGGAAAGAGGTAAGGTGCTGGAACACTTTCTCTGCTGCACACTTTCTCTGGTGTAAACAGTCCTCCATGGTGCAGAGAGCAGTGCTGAATCTTTACACCGTGAGGTCCTCGGGGGCGGGTCCATGACTCCCTGCACTCACAGTATGTCCTCTGTGTTGAAGTCAACCTGGAAGACTGAGGACACCTTGTGGCAGGAAAGAGGTAAGGTGCTGGAACACTTTCTCTGCTTCACACTTTCTCTGGTGTAAACAGTCCTCCATGGTGCAGAGAGCAGTGCTGCATCGTTACACCGTGAGATCCTCAGGGGCGGGTCCATGACTCCCTGCACTCACAGTATGTCCTCTGTGTTGAATTCCACCTGGAAGACTGAGGACATCTTGTGGCAGGAAAGAGGTAAGGCACTGGAAAGCAGGTGAGCACCTTTTTTATTAATAGAAAATTAAGAGTTGGCCTTTCCGGAGAAAGATAGAGCAGCCAATTTATCAGGGAGTGACCTCTGTGAGCCCATACTAGAACGAAGATTCCTCCACGAACGCTCAGACCTGCAGCCGTCATTTCTAAGGGGCCGAGCGCTCAGGAAGGTGTCGGCACGTTTCCTCTTTTGTTTTAATTATCAAACAAATGAATGTAAAGCTTCCTCTCCAGATTCAATTAATGGGTCAAGCTGGCTTCACAAAACATAACTCCTCGCTCCATAAATTGAATAAAGCGAGACAATTACAGCCGAGTCCACAGACAGCAATAAAACAAAACTTCCCGTGACAAATAGACATTCATTTTTACTGGAAAAAAAATAAAAAAAATTACCTGGACGATCGTTCATCTTTGCTTCAGTGAAATGGAATTAGACAAATAAATGTTTGGCCGCCGTCTTCTATGTAACGTGTACAGTGCTGTGAAAAAGTATTTGCCCCCTTCCTGATTTTTTTATTTTTATTTTTTTGCCGATTTGTCACCCTGAAGTGATTCAGATCACCAAAAAATGTAAATAATACGCAGATAACCCGAGGAAATTCAAAATGCAGTTTTTAAATGATGGTTTCATTAAGGGAAAAAAGACGTCCAAACCTGCCTGGCCCTGTGTGAAAAAGTAATTGCCCCCTAAACCTAATAAGTGGTTGCTCCACCCTTGGTGGCCACAGCTGCAAGTCGGTCACATCGCTGTGGAGGAATTTTGGGTCTTTGCAGAATTGTTTTCATTCAGCCACATTGGAAGGTTTTCCAGCATGAACGGCCTGTTTAAAACCACTTGCCTACTGGGCACTTCTACCCCCTTCCTGCCTACCGGGCACTTCTATCCCCTCCCTGCCTACCGGACACTTCTACCCCCTTCCTGCCTACTGGACACCTCTACCTCCTTCCTGCCTACCGGGCACTTCTACCCCCTTCCTGCCTATAGGATGCTTCTACACCCTCCCTGCCTACAGGGCGCTTCTACCCCCTTCCTGCCTACTGGACACCTCTACCTCCTTCCTGCCTACCGGGCACTTCTACCCCCTTCCTGCCTATAGGACGCTTCTACACCCTCCCTGCCTACAGGGCGCTTCTACCCCCTTCCTGCCTACCGGGCACTTCTACCCCCTTCCTGCCTACCGGGCATTTCTACTCCCTTCCTGCCTACCGGGCACTTCTACCCCCTTCCTGCCTATAGGACGCTTCTACACCCTCCCTGACTACAGGGCACTTCTACCCCCTTCCTGCCTATCGGACACTTCTACCCCCTTCCTGCCTACCGGGCACTTCTACCCCCTTCCTGCCTACAGGACACTTCTACCCCCTTCCTGCCTATCGGACACTTCTACCCCCTTCCTGCCTATCGGACACTTCTACCCCCTTCCTGCCTACCGGGCACTTCTACCCCCTTCCTGCCTACAGGGCACTTCTACCCCCTTCCTGCCCATCGGACACTTCTACCCCCTTCCTGCCTATGGGGCACTTCTACCCCCCCCTTCCTGCCTACAGGACACTTCTACCCCCTTCCTGCCTACAGGGCACTTCTACCCCCTTCCTGCCTACTGAGCACTTCTACCCCCTCTGCCTACAGGACACTTCTACCGCCTTCCTGCCTACAGGGCACTTCTACCCCCTTCCTGCCTACTGGGCACTTCTACCCCCTTCCTGCCTACTGGGTACTTCTACCCCCTTCCTGCCTACTGGGCACTTCTACCCCCTCCTGCCTACAGGACACTTCTACCCCCTTCCTGCCTACAGGGCACTTCTACCCCCTTCCTGCCTACCGGACACTTCTACCCCCTTCCTGCCTACAGGACACTTCTACCCCCTTCCTGCCTACAGGGCACTTCTACCCCCTTCCTGCCTACAGGACACTTCTACCCCCTTCCTGCCTACTGGGCACGTCTACCCCCTTCCTGCCTACTGGGCACGTCTACCCCCTTCCTGCCTACAGGGCACTTCTACCCCCTTCCTGCCTGCCGGGCACTTCGACCCCCCCTTCTGTCTACTGTTTTTTTTGGTCGCCAGTGGCTTTGGCCTCGGAACTCTCCCATAAAGGCCATTTTTTCTTCTTTTTGAACCATGAACACTAACCTTACCTGAGGCAGTTGGGGCTCTTGGGCTCGTTGGGCTCTTGGAGTCATTTTGGTAGGTCAGCCACACCTGGGAAGGTTCACCACTGTTCCAAGTGTTCTCCATTTGTGGATAATGCCTCTCACGGTGGTTCGCTGTAGTCCCAAAGCCTTAGAAATGGTTTTGTAACTCTTTCCAGACTGATACGTGTCAATTACTTTGTTTATTATCTGTTCCTGAGTTTCTTTTGATAGCGGCATGATGTGTTGTTTTTTTTAGATCTTTTAGCGTGCTTCACTTTGTCAGACAGCTTCTATTTAACTGATTTCTTGACTCAACAGGTCTGGCAGTAATTAGGCCTGGGTGTGGCAAGTGAGATTTAACTCAGCGTTCCAAAAAATGCGGTTAATCACAGTTCATTCATGATTTAGCAAGGGGGGCAAATACTTTTTCACATAGGCCTAGGCAGGTTTGGTCAGGCTTTTTCCTTTAATAAATGAAATCATCATTCAATAACTGCATTTTGTATTTACTCGGGTTATCTTTGTGTAATATAAAATTTGTTTGATGATCTGAATTTTTAAGTGTGACAAATGTGCTCCTGACACTCCTTACAACTGGAGCAGTATATATAAAGTGAGTGCGCTGTACACTAAACACTCAAATGCAATAACCAAACACAGCATGCCCTCAAAATAATAATATTACAAAAAATAAATTACTAAAGTGCTATAAATAGTCCAAATTCATAGTGAATGAATAAAAAAGTCCTAAATCCAGTGACACAGCGCTGTGTGCTGAAAAATCTTCCAACAAAAGTGCATAGGTGTCCACAAGTGCTTGACACAACAGAAAAATCAGCCTCTTACCAGACACATTGATCTCCAATCAAGAGATGGTGTTCAGATCCAACACTGACACCCATGTTAGCAGTATCATGGAGATGACTGGATAACTGCAGGTTCACCTCGAGGGATCCATCACATCAAACAGCTCTCCACACCATGTAAGGAAAGATTTAAGGCTCCATGTACATGGGACACTTCTGAACGATGGAAACTGACTGCTGGAAAACGTAGGTTAAAAAAGTCAGTTTAGCCGCGTTTGCATACCGCGTTTATCTGCGTTTGCGTTTAGAAGCGTTTTTTAAAGATAAGCACAGGAGAACCTCCCAAATGCCAAGAATGCACTGAAAAGTTGTAAATTAATAACTATATCAGACTGTTTCAGAGAAATACACACAGTAGAAGCAGAAACAGCAGTATGTGTTGAGATTAGCTGAGGTCTGAGTTGCTCATTAACATTTCTTTTGTTTCCAAGGGAGGGAGAGGTCTGAGGTGTGAATTGGTCATTAACATATCTTTTGTTTTCAATGGTGGGAGAGGTCTGAGGTGTGAATGGTCATTAACATATCTTTTGTTTTCAATGGTGGGAGAGGTCTGAGGTGTGAATGGTCATTAACAGATCTTTTGTTTCCAAGGGTGGGAGAGGTCTGAGGTGTGAATGGTCATGAACATATCTTTTGTTTCCAAGGGTGGGAGAGGTCTGAGGTGTGAATGGTCATGAACATATCTTTTGTTTCCAAAGGTGGGAGAGGTCTGAGGTGTGAATGGTCATGAACATATCTTTTGTTTCCAAGGGTGGGAGAGGTCTGAAGTGTGAATGGTCATGAACATATCTTTTGTTTCCAAGGGTGGGAGAGGTCTGAGATGTGAATTGGTCATGAACATATCTTTTGTTTCCAAGGGTGGGAGAGGTCTGAGATGTGAATTGGTCATGAACATATCTTTTGTTTCCAAGGGTGGGAGAGGTCTGAGATGTGAATTGGTCATGAACATATCTTTTGTTTCCAAGGGTGGGAGAGGTCTGAAGTGTGAATGATCATTAACAAAACTTTTGTTTCCAAGGGTGGGGGAGGTCTGAGGTGTGAATTGGTCATTACAATGTGTGACAAGCTTGGTAGAAACATCCTGTGTTCAGTGTTTTGTCCATCTGAGCACCTTGAAAGTGCTATGCATGCATTTCTCAGGATGAAAAAAAGGCTCTGGACAGCATTGGGAACTGGAAGAGTTAAAAAAAATTTCAGATGCAAACGCTTATAAACGCGATTTGCCGCATTTAGCCGCGTTTACAAGCGTTTTGCGTTGATAAAATTAAGTTTGGTGCCTTCAAAAAAACGACTGTAAACTCAAATGCCTGTAAACAATGATGTGTAGACGGATACATAGGAAAACATTAGGGAGAGTTCAGGGGCTGCTGAAAAAAACACTCAACAGCTCCTAAACATCAGTTTATCAGCCGCAACGTACACGAGGCCTTAAACAGACGAAGAAAACTTCATAGTGCGAGCCGATAACCCACCAAAAGATTTATTAAAGTGTCGCACTTACATAGATAAGGTGCACAAAGGCAGTGTACAAATTTAAAATTCCCGCGGTGTCAGAGGGAATGGAACGTGGTGACATCACAGAAAGCTCCACTTTGGGCGTAGTGCAAGTTTTCTCCAAGTTTTCTCCTTTTTTACAACTGAAGAAGTGCCTTGGAGAAGTTCTGACATCTCTTCGACATCAATCAACATTGTACAAGGACAGAATGTGTTCCTGTAGCTATTGGTTATCCATCCTGTCCTTGGACAATCAACATCTGCACATTTCATGGTGATTGCTTCTGGGCTCTGACCCCCCCCCCCCCCTGTATATAAAATCAGGAGGGAGCTCTGCCCAGATGCGTTCCAGCCACATGGGAGCAAGGACAGGCTGACAGCTGCTATGTAACCCCATCCTCTAGCACACCACCAGCCCGGAGGCGCTCTGCTCGTCCTTGCTTCAGCTATCTTCCCATCCTTTTACCCTCACTGGAGATTGTCTGCTAACATGCCTGGGGCTGCTGAGACCTGTAGTCTCACATCACACAGCCTGCTACATAGGAAGGAAAGACACAGACAGCAAGGTGTGGGAGAGTGCTTCTGTTCCTGATTCCAGCAAAACTGCTACAAACCTGTGTCCTGGAGCCTTCCACAAGTTAGGGGATTGCTGGGCCTTGCAGTCCTCCCAGAAAATGCCAGCCATGGACTATTTCTTAAGCAGGTATGCCGGGGCAGCAGACAAGCCTGTAGTTGAGGACTACAGATGTTAGGAAAAGACTGCACTTTGTGTTGAGCTGCGATCTTGTCATTCCCATCATGCTGCGTTATTCAGGTCAAATGTTTGAAGCTTTGTCATGCCTGGTCTGAAGCTACTTAAAGGGGTGCTTGGTGGTAATGGTGTATAGAAGGACATGGCTGTGATTCATACCAGGGCTGAAGTGGTGACAAGACGTTGCTACGGGCAACAAGCACAAGAAAAGGATGATATGACAGCCAGACGGAGAGAATGGTATCGGCAGGGGTGACGGGTCTCATGTGTAGTGAAGGAAGCGGTTTTGAGCCTACCTCTAGAGTGATTAGTGCTCCAGTAGACCCGCTTGATGGAGACCCTAGGGACCTAGCTGTATGGTACAGAAGAGTTAACTATGTATGCACATGGGGTCCGCGCTGGTTCCTAGTGGGACCCACTGGGTCACTGGGAAATGGGTGCCGGAGTCTATCTGGACTGGTGGAATGGGACATTGTAATTCTGGTGTCTCCTTCAAAATGTTGTGTCCGGAGTAGGTGTGTTTATCGTGGGTGGGAGCCGGAGTCTAGCTGGACTGGCGGAATGGGACATTGCAGTTCTGGTGTCTCCTTCAAAATGTTGCATCCTGAGTATGTATCGTGAGACCCGGAGGGCCAAAAGGCCCCCACATGCACCCGGTGAGCCCACCCCACCTCCATACTTATCTCTACTACTGTACTGCTGTAGCATGTCTCCCTTTTCCAACCAAACATGGAACATGCCCACAGTCTCTGACCACCATTTCTTTTGGTCTGTCTCAGTCTTGGTCAGTCCTCTCTACAATTATTTATACTAAACAATTTGATTATTATTATTATACAGGATTTATGGCACCAACAGTTTGCTCAGCGCTGTACAATATAACAGGAGACAATACAGCAACAATACAGTTCAATACAAGAGGGATAGGAGGGCCTGATCCTGGGAGCTTACAATCTAGGAGGGAGGGGATAGTGGTACAAAAGGTAATAACTGTGGGGGATGGAGTGGTTGGAAGAGAGAAGATTCCATTATTAGCTGGGGTCAGGATAGGCTTCCCTGAAGAGATCGGTTTTCAGAGATCGCCTAAAAGTGAGCAGAGTAGTCTGATAAATTGGGGTAGGGAGTTCCAGAGGATGGGGGAAGCTCTGGAGAAGTCCTGGAGATGAGCATGGGAGGAGGAGACAAGGGAGCTAGAGAGTAGGAGGTCTCGCGAGGAGCAAAGGAGCAGAGAGTACGGTTTGGGTGATATTTAGAGACAAGATCAGTGATGTAATTTGGGGCAGAGTTATAAATTTGATTGTCCTTTGCTCATATCAAGGGCCACATCAAGGGCCCGTATACTTCATAGGTTTATAGATTAAATTGTGGCCCCAGCAGATGGCAATAACTAGTTTTACCCAAAAGAATTCTCCATTTTGTGCCGCAAATCCCCACCAACAGAGTCGGCTCTCTACCTGCAGGAGACGCCGTGAGATTCCTCTGCCAAGAGCAGAGAGCCGATTAAAAAAAAAAAAAGTTGTGAAATTTTTGCAAAGATCAGGTATAGTATAACTTATAATAAATATGTAAATCCCTCACAACTCTCTGCAGAGGCAAGGAATATATGTGAGCGTCCTTTCAATTGTGTTTTCCATCTCAATCACAACACAAATTCCGTAAGAGGATCAAGGATGGATTTTAAATGAAGTTTAACAAGGAGTATAATCCCTCAGGGAGGCTTTTTTGTCAGCTCTCTCGATAATTTCACCCATTTCTTTAAAAATTAAGCAGTAAGAGATCTTTCGGCGGCAAAGGAGAAATGCTAATTTGCTGCATGGAGTAAATAGTCATTTTCTGGCATTTCTTCCATAAGCCATACATCATGAGCTGTCTGCATGCAGATTTCCTCTCTGACAGTAACGAACTGATCCATCTCAATGACCCATTTAAACACCTAAAGTTTGGAACTTCGGAAAAGGAAGAGAAGATGAATTTTCTGAGAAGCCGGAAAGAATGAGACATTTTAAAACAACCTTTTCAGACTGGGTTCCCACTGACACCCCAATGTAAGGGACATTCTTCCCACTGACCCCCCAATGTAAGGGACATTCCACCCACTGACCTCCAGTGTAAGAGACATTTGACTGATCACCAATGTAAGGGCCATTTTCCCACTGACCCCCAATGTAAGGGACATTCTTCCCACTGACCCCCAATGTAAGGGCCATTCTTAATGACACCCCAATGTAAGGGACATTCTTCCCATTGACCCCCCAATGTAAGGGACATTCTTCCCACTGACCACCAATGTAAAGGACATTCTTCCCACTGACCACCAATGTAAGGGACATTCTTCCCACTGACCACCAATGTAAGGGACATTCTTCCCCACTGATCACCAATGTAAGGGACATTCTTCCCACTGACCCCAATGTAAGGGACATTCTTCCCACTGATCACCAATGTAAGGGACATTCTTCCCACTGACCCCCCAATGTAAGGGACATTCTTCCCACTGACCCCCAATGTAAGGGACATTCTTCCCACTGACCCCCAATGTAAGGGACATTCTTCCCACTGACCACCAATGTAAGGACATTCTTCCCACTGACCCCAATGTAAGGGACATTCTTCCCACTGACCCCCCAATGTAAAGGACATTCTTCCCACTGACCACCAATGTAAGGGACATTCTTCCCACTGACCACCAATGTAAGGGACATTCTTCCCACTGATCACCAATGTAAGGGACATTCTTCCCACTGATTCCCCCACTGATCACCAATGTAAGGGACATTCTTCCCACTGACCCCCCAATGTAAGGGACATTCTTCCCACTGACCACCAATGTAAGGGACATTCTTCCCACTGACCACCAATGTAAGGGACATTCTTCCCCACTGACCACCAATGTAAGGGACATTCTTCCCACTGACCCCCACTAAGGGACCTTCCCATTGACCCCCAATGTAAGGGACATTCTTCCCACTGACCCCCCAATGTAAGGGACATTCTTCCCACTGACCCCCAATGTAAGGGACATTCTTCCCACTGACCCCCAATGTAAGGGACATTCTTCCCACTGACCCCCAATGTAAGGGACATTCTTCCCACTGAACCCCAATGTAAGGGACATTCTTCCCACTGACCCCCAATGTAAGGGACATTCTTCCCACTGACCCCCAATGTAAGGGACATTCTTCCCACTGACCCCCAATGTAAGGGACATTCTTCCCACTGACCCCCAATGTAAGGGACATTCTTCCCACTGACCCCCAATGTAAGGGACATTCTTCCCACTGACCCCCAATGTAAGGGACATTCTTCCCACTGACCCCCAATGTAAGGGACATTCTTCCCACTGACCCCCCCAATGTAAGGGACATTCTTCCCACTGACCCCCAATGTAAGGGACATTCTTCCCATTGACCCCCAATGTAAGGGACATTCTTCCCACTGACCCCCAATGTAAGGGACATTCTTCCCACTGATCACCAATGTAAGGGACATTCTTCCCACTGACCCCCAATGTAAGGGACATTCTTCCCACTGACCCCCAATGTAAGGGACATTCTTCCCACTGACCCCCAATGTAAGGGACATTCTTCCCACTGACCCCCCAATGTAAGGGACATTCTTCCCACTGACCCCCAATGTAAGGGACATTCTTCCCACTGACCCAATGTAAGGGACATTCTTCCCACTGACCCCAATGTAAGGGACATTCTTCCCACTGACCCCCCAATGTAAGGGACATTCTTCCCACTGACCCCCAATGTAAGGGACATTCTTCCCACTGACCCCCCAATGTAAGGGACATTCTTCCCACTGACCCCCAATGTAAGGGACATTCTTCCCACTGATCACCAATGTAAGGGACATTCTTCCCACTGACCACCAATGTAAGGGACATTCTTCCCACTGACCCCCAATGTAAGGGACATTCTTCCCACTGACCCCCAATGTAAGGGACATTCTTCCCACTGACCCCCCAATGTAAGGGACATTCTTCCCACTGACCCCCAATGTAAGGGACATTCTTCCCACTGACCCCCAATGTAAGGGACATTCTTCCCACTGACCACCAATGTAAGGGACATTCTTCCCACTGACCCCCAATGTAAGGTACATTCTTCCCACTGACCCCCAATGTAAGGGACATTCTTCCCACTGACCCCCAATGTAAGGGACATTCTTCCCACTGACCCCCCAATGTAAGGGACATTCTTCCCACTGACCCCCAATGTAAGGGACATTCTTCCCACTGACTCCCAATGTAAGGGACATTCTTCCCACTGACCACCAATGTAAGGGACATTCTTCCCACTGACCCCCAATGTAAGGGACATTCTTCCCACCGACCACCAATGTAAGGGACATTCTTCCCACTGACCACGAATGTAAGGGACATTCTTGTCCCATCATAATCAGTGGGATGAATAGTGACACCATCATTGGTGTCAGTGGGAGGAATAGTGCCCCATCATTGGTCAGTGGGAGGAATAGGGGTGTCAGTGGGAGGAATAGTGCCCCATCATTGGTGTCAGTGGGAGGAATAGTGCCCCATCATTGGTGTCAGTGGGAGGAATAGTGCCCCATCATTGGTGTCAGTGGGAGGAATAGTGCCCCATCATTGGTATCAGTGGGAGGAATAGTGCCCCATCATTGGTGTCAGTGGGAGAATAGTGCCCCATCATTGGTGTCAGTGGGGGGAATAGTGCCCCATCATTGATATCAGTGGGAGGATCATTGGTGTCAGTGCCCCATCATTGGTGTCAGTGGGAGGAATAGTGCCCCATCATTGGTGTCAGTGGGAAGAATAGTGCCCCATCATTGGTGTCAGTGGGAGGAATAGTGCCCCATTGGTGTCAGTGGGAGGAATAGTGCCCCATCATTGGTGCCAGTGGGAAGAATAGTGCCCCATCATTGGTGTCGGTGGGAGGAATAGTGTCCCATCATTGGTATCAGTGGGAGGAATAGTGCCCCATCATTGGTGTCAGTGGGAGGAAAAAGGATGGATAAAAGCAGGCAAAGGGCCAAATCTTGCCCTCGGGCCACATCTTGGACAAGTGGTATAGAGACAAAAAGGGAGCACGGATCAACAGGGTAAAACTGAAGGTGCGAGAAACAGTCAGGAAATGGGAATCAGGATTAGGAATGAGGAACAAGGGCAGCAGATACATGGCAGCAGGGTACAAGGTACAGGGCAGGAGCGGGATCTAGGGTCATGATAAGTCAGCAAGCATAATCCAGCTTTCATGGAACGCAATGAAGAAAGAGGGAAATGTAGAGATGGAACTAAATACCCTCCCAGCAGCCATCATCAGTGAAAGACTGATTGCTGGGAGACACCTGCTGGTGGACACTGGAACTACAACCTGTCTAGGAAGCACAGTGCCACCAGCAGGTGATCCATGTCCTGACACAGACACTGTTAGGTTCTCACCCTTTATCCACGGTTCACACAATGGTCGTCATGTGAATCGCACAGGAACCGCACCGCACCGCATTCCAGTTCAATTCACACGCGATTCAGTGCAGTGCGATTTGCCTATTCATTTTGATGGGGATGAAATTGCACTGCATCTTACCAACACACTGTGATTGCAACCTGCATGTGGAGTGTCCTTGAGATTGCACTGACACCCGCTGTAGATCGCAAGGGTAGTGCGCGATTACCAATGCGGTGCAGGAAGCATGCACGGATCGAGGGGTTTCCCGCACTGCATTAGTGGGCTCATTCGTGGTCGCTTTGGTTTCAGAAGAACGATCTCGGATCACTCTTCGGGGAGCATTTGGAACAGTGGGAACCTCCAGGAACGTTTTCCAAACACTTTCTTCAAACATTCCTTTAAATCTGATCTCCAGGATAATAGATCCATTCATCAATAGACCGCCCACTGCTGCTCTCCTTGTGAAGGGAGACTGGTCTTGTCTCCGCCCCCTCCTGTAGTTTTCTGTAGTGGGTTGAGCCTGTTTGGCACCTCCCACAACTCTGCTCCCTCCTTGTGCAGGGAAACTGGTCTTGACTCCACCCCCTCCTGTAATTTCCTGCAGGAAGACTGCAATGGGCGGGGTCTTTTGGGCCCCTCCCACAGCTCTGCTCTCCTTTTGCAAAGAGATTGGTCTTGTCTCAGCCCCCTACTGTAATTTTCTGCAGGAAAATCGCAATGGGCGGGGTCTTTTGGGCCCCTCCCACAGCTTTTCTTTTGGGCCCCTCCCACAGCTCTGCTCTCCTTTTGCAGGGTGATTGGTCTGTCTCAGACCCCTACTGTAATTTTCTGCAGGAAAATCGCAATGGGCGGGGTCTTTTGGGCCCCTCCCACAGCTCTGCTCTCCTTGTGCAGGGTGATTGGTTTTGTCTCCGCTCCCTACAGTAATTTTCTGCAGGAAAATCGCAATGGGCGGGGTCTTTTGGGCCCCTCCCACAGCTCCGCTCTCCTTGTGCAGAGTGATTGGTCTTGTCTCTGCCCCCTCCTGTAGTTTTATGTAGTGGGTGGAACCTGGTTGGCTCCTCCCACAGCTGTGCTCTCTCTTTTTTTTGAGAAGGGTGACTGGTCTTGTCTCTGCCCCCTCCTGTAATTTTCTGCAGAAAGGCTGCAATGGGCGGGGTCTTTTGGGCCCCTCCCACAGCTCTGTTCTTCTTGTGCAGGGTGATTGGTCTTGTCTCTGCCCCCTCCTGTAGGTTTATGTAGTGGGCATGGCCTGGCTGTCTCCTCCCACATCTCTGCTCAATCTCCTTGTACTGGGTGACTGGTCTTGTCTCCGCCCCTGCAGAAAGGCTGCATTGGGCGATGTCTTTTGGGCCCCTCCCACAACTCCACTCTTTGCGTAGGCTATGTACAGCACCATGATGACGTCACCACTGCATTTGCAAGGTAATATCTGGTTTTGGAATGGCGTTTGGTCCCCACAAGTTGGATTTATCTCCGTTGTGGACACGGAGGAATACATTTCACGAAAGTTTTTGGACCCGGAGTTCAGCTTTAAAATGATTAAAAAAGAAAAAAAAATCCTCAGCCTCCGATTGTTCCAAAGATTTTCCTGAGCAGAGAAGTTCCGTGAGCCTCCCTCCGGTGCGTTAGGCGGTTGCGGTGACAGACACAAAATGAAATCCATTTTTCACACTTAGCGTGGCGCAGACACTCCGTCTGATCCTGGCGGCCTCGCCGCGGCAGAAGGTGAACATTTCGGAGAGGTCTCTTCTCCTCCCTCCAATGCCACAGATTATATATCGCAGACGCGCCTTCCGCGCCTTTCTTCTCCCCTCGCCGCCGTGGAACTTGAAGTTTTCTTCCTCTTTTTTCTTCCTCCTCCTTCTGATGTTTTATGAATTTCTGGAAGTTGTTATAAATTAATTTGCGCGGCGCGGCGGAGACAGGCCAATTCATTGCGTGTAATGGATGACCGGCGCGGCAATTACAGAGCGAATTCTCCAGGCAGAGAAACCGTTCGCTTTATACCCATCAGAGGAGCTGAATCTAATGTTTGAAAATGAGATGTAATGGATGTTCTAGATCAGTGGTCTCCAAACTGTGGCCCGGGGGCCAGATGTGGCCCTTTGTTTACATTTATCTGGCTCTTCCAGAACTATACCTTCCACTGATACAAGACACTATTCCTCCCCAGTGACACCAATGATGGGGCACTATTCCTCCCACTGACAACAATGATGGGGCACTATTCCTCCCACTGACACCAATGATGGGGCACTATTCCTCCCAGTGACACCAATGATGGGGCACTATTCCCCCCACTGACACCAATGATGGGGCACTATTCCTCACAGTGACACCAATGATGGAGCACTATTCCTCCCACTGATACCAATGATGGGGCACTATTCCTCCCACTGACACCAATGATGGGGCACTATTCCTCCCACTGATACCAATGATGGGGCACTATTCCTCCCACTGACACCAATGATGGGGCACTATTCCTCCCACTGATACCAATGATGGGGCACTATTCCTCCCACTGATACCAATGATGGGGCACTATTCCTCCCACTGACACCAATGATGGGGCACTATTCCTCACAGTGACACCAATGATGGAGTATTTATTTTTAACACTATTCCTCCCACTGATACCAATGATGGGGCACTATTCCTCCCACTGACACCAATGATGGGGCACTATTCCTCCCACTGACACCAATGATGGGGCACTATTCCTCCCACTGATACCAATGATGGGGCACTATTCCTCCACTGACACCAATGATGGGGCACTATTCCACTCAGTGACACCAATGATGGGGCTCTATTCCTCCCACTGACACCAATGATGGGGCACTATTCCTCCCACTGACACCAAAGATGGGGAACTATTCCACCCACTGACACCAATGATGGGGCACTATTCCACCCACTGACACCAATGATGGGGCACTATTCCTCCCACTGATACCAATGATGGGGCACTATTCCTCCCACTGACACCAATGATGGGGCACTATTCCTCCCACTGACACCAATGATGGGGCACTATTCCACTCAGTGACACCAATGATGGGGCTCTATTCCTCCCACTGACACCAATGATGGGGCACTATTCCTCCCACTGACACCAAAGATGGGGAACTATTCCACCCACTGACACCAATGATGGGGCACTATTCCACCCACTGACACCAATGATGGGGCACTATTCCTCCCACTGACACCAATGATGGGGCACTATTTCACCCCACTGACAAAAATGATGGGGCACTATTCCTCCCACTGATACCAATGATGGGACACTATTCCTCCCACTGACACCAATGATGGGGCACTATTCGTTCAACTGATACTAATACCAAAGATGGAACACTGTTTATTCCCACTAATGCAAGGACATTTTCTACTCCCCACTTGCCACAGTCCAGCCCCCCTAAAGTCTGAATGACAGTAAACTGAACCTTTGTTTAGAAAGTTTGGAGAACCCTGTTCTACATGGGTGAGGAAAATATGACCCAGCCCTAGATAGATAGATAGATGATAGATAGATAGATAGATAATAGATAGATAGATAGATAGATAGATAATAGATAGATAGATAGATAGATAGATAGATAGATAGATAGATAGATAGATAGATAGATGATAGATAGATAGATAGATAGATAATAGATAGATAATAGATAGATAGATAGATAGATAGATAGATAGATAGATAGATAGATAGATAGATAGATAGATGATAGATAGATAGATAGATAGATAATAGATAGATAA